ACGGCGTCTGGAACAGACCCGCTGCTCCCCGAGTCACCGCTTCAAAGCTCCTCACGACGCCACTCAAGCCGTTAATGAGGCGAACCGGACCCGGAGAGAGACAAGGTTACGGAGACGACACTTTACCTTTCTACAAGTACATGTTTATCGCCCAGCACGGACAGGTGTGCATGTGTGCGCTGTGCGTTACCAAAGTATCTCATTAGCTACTTGTTGCATTTAGGTGCAACTTGGGATCAACCTCAGTCAAGATGGCCGCCACACCTAATCAACATTAGTATACATAAAAAGGCTCAAACTCACAGAAACTGATCTACTGTTTGGTGTTATTGTTATATGTCTAACATATTACACGAGACCGTTTACGGTTAAAGTTAGCAATGTACAACAGGACAAAGATATCGTATCCCAACAGTGATTCAATAATTATACAACCATTGCGTTCCTCCTCTCTGTATAGGTTGGAGAGTTTTGCAGGTTCAGTCAGCTCAGCACGAAACTTAATGGACGTTAGATACGTTTCCATCAGACAAGTTCCTGAGAGGGGCGAAGGTGACACAGTGGCTCGGTCCTCTCAGCTGTTGTCTCCAAACAAAAATCGGCCCTTTAAGGACTTTGCTAAATGTCAGCATATTGTGAGCCTGTCAGCAGTGAGTGATGGCACTGATCAATGCCAAAAGGCATCCACAAACTTTAACACTGGAGACGTTTTATTTTGACAAGGTATGCTTGGTGTGTTGTATTAAAATGTTATAAATTACGACGTTGTGTTGTTTCAGAAATGTCCCAATGTAACCAAATAATGGTTATTTAGCGACGAATGCCGATATAATTTCCCAACGAGTTACAACCAAACAGCATTTGTAAACCACAAGTCCCGCCCAGCGATTCCAGTGGGTCTTTTCCGAGTACATTCCCTTGGTTGGTCCCTGAAATGTAAAATGACTTGAAAGAGTTGCTAGCTAAACAGGCAGCAGTAGTTTGGATTTTCTGCTTAACATGTAAATGTGTATCGGCAGCAGACCTCGTCTCCTCAGCTCACCACCCTCATCTGTCCTGCCCGTCTGTCTCCTCTCTAATGTAGACGGGGCCCTCAGTACATGTTTTTCTTCCTCCAGCTGGATTTATGAGTGATTTAATTGAAATTCAGAAATAAACTTGGGTTGTAAACACTGCTAATGTCCTGTGTGTGTGTGCTTGTCCAGATTCCCGGCCTTTCCTGAAGACCTCCATGATGTTCTAGAGAGGAAGATGGCTGCGTCTCCAGAACCCACCCCCCCCACCCCCCCTCCTGTACAGATAACCACCACCACAGCATCCACTGAATCCTCACACACTACTTCCCCCAAACCGGACTCCACCTTTTTACTTGGATAAAAAAACAATGAGACTACTACGAGACACACTGGACGTTACTTTTGGGATTCTCCTAACACCACCTTTCTCTGTTCATTCCTCTTCTCCTCTTTACTGACTCCAAGACATTTTTCTCCTTTGTGCTGAAAACTGAAGAAACAAACACGGCCGAGAAAAGGCAAATGAAGCAGATTTTCCTACCTTTCCTTCATGTTTTGGTTAAAATAAAAACTCGGAAACGGTTCGATGAGAGGATGAGATACGAAGGACCGGAGTCTGAGAAAAGACACGTGGTTGGACGAGAAGAAAGAATAGTTTCCACTTCCTTCTGGATGTGACTTTAACTCTCTGGTTGACAGCGGGTCATCTGACTGGATGTGATCAGCTAATCAGAGGAGCTCAGGACCACAAAAAAAGCTTTTTTTTAGAACAATCTAAGAAGAATTGTAACAGAATGAGAAAAGAAGGTAAACAACATAGGGAACTGTTTCTATTCCACGCGTCTGTTTTTGTGCAGGAACTGAAAAGAACGTGTGGGAGAACCTTTGTTTATCTGAACCTTCCGACTGTCCTCACCTCCAGCTCTCTCTCTCTACTCCCTCTCTTATAAACTCTCCTCCACCAGTTTAATCCGACTACCCTTATTCTTTACATCAAACAGCTCTGCTTTCTATAAAGTATCACTTCTTTGCATGACTCCTCTTGTTTTTCCCTCTTATCTACACGTGTCCCCTCATTTACTCACCTCTGTAAACGAGGCAATACTCATTACTTTTCAATGTATAAAGTATTTTCTATTACCCCTAAAAAAGTGGAATCAGTTTCTGAAATTATGCAAAAGTTAAAAAAACACATTTTTATTACAAAAGGGTGATTTTTAGACATCCTTAAGGTACATTAAACTCTTCCTTGATGTTGAGACTTTTCACATTTCGCCCCCGATCCTGAAACCAGAAGTCGTACTTACGGGTGCTGGTGTTTGTATGATTATTAGTTTGAGTGTTTGATTTTTATTGCCGTAAAGCCGCCTCAGAAATGTTTAACGTAGACTTCATTTCTGCTTCCTTTTATGTTGGACTACAACTACCACACATGTACTGATTCATCAAGCGCTCTTCAAACACCAGAAACCTTGTACTCCCTG